TTGATGGCCCATGCGCAAGGTCCAATTTTGGCACACTCTCTCCAACATATCGGCCGGTATCTCACGAATAAATGCTTCAATATTGGCTTCCAGTGCGTCAATCGTTGCTGGTTTATCCCTGTAGACATTATCCTTAACATGGCCCCACAAGAAATAGTCCAACGGCGTTAAATCACACGATCTAGGCGGCCAATTGACGGGCCCCAAACGTGAGATAAACTGTTCACCGAACTGGCCTCTCAATAGGGCCATCGTTTGGTGTGCGGTGTGGCATGTGGCACCGTCTTGTTGAAACCACATGTCAGCCAAGTCCAGCTCTTCCATTTTGGGCAAAAAAAAGTTTGTTATCATCGCACGGTAGCGCTCGCCATTCACAGTTGCGTTCCGGCCATTGTCGTCTTTGAAGATGATGCCACCGGCCCATAATCCACACCAAACAGAGATTTTTTCGGGATGCATTGGTAGCTTTTGCAATGCTTCTGGCTGGCTTCACTCCAGATGCGGCAATTGTGCTTGTTAACGTCCCCATTCAACCAGAAATGAGCTTCGTCGCTGAACACAATTTTTCGATAAAAATGTGGATCTTCCTCCAACTTTGCCAGCGCCATTCACCAAATTGGAAATGTGGGAGGTCGTGTGGCTTCAATTCTTGCACCAGCTGTATCTTATAAGGTTTTTCACCCAAATCCTGTCGCAAAATTTTCGACGTAGTGGAGTAACAGAGCCCCAATTGCTGCGAACGGCGGCGAATCGACATTTCACGGTCATCACTAACACTGGCGGATACAGCCGCAATATTTTCTCAGTCCTCACTCTACGTCTGCGTGTTGGTGGTTCAATGTCCAATAATGTAAACTGAGTTCGAAATTCAGTCACACGCTTCCGAATAGCTCCGTCAGTGGGCCGACCAAATTGCCCATAAATTGGAAGCAGTGCTCGATGCACTCTCTTAACCGAGCATGAATTTTGATAGTAAAATTCAATAATTTGCAAGCGTTGTTCATTCATAAGTCGATTTATGGTTAAATTATAGACCAAACTGAACAGTTTGACAATGACACAAAACACGGTTCACGCGTCATCTGTCAAAAACAGTGTTGCCAAAAAATACTAGCAAAAAAATCACCCATTATAAGTACAGCTCTGAAATTGGGTGCGAATATTCCTCTTTTATGGAAGAATGAAAGGAGTGATACTTTTTTCTTATCATTTTTCCTTTTCGAAAAATCATTGATGAAGCCTCGTCTCGCAGCAAGTTGAGTTTTCAAGAAAAGCAAAGATTTTTCGAAAAGGAAAAGCGATAAGAACAAAAGTAATCACTCGTTTCACTCTTCCATAAAAGAGGAATATTCACACACCATTTCAGAGCTGTGCTTATATTTGTTAACAAGTTCCGATTGCAGCAAAAATGGAAAATAAAAAATTGTTTTTAGTCATGTCTATACGCGGCATGAATTATCAGATAAAAAGGATTTCGAATACTGCTTTAAACAGGAAGTTGAAAAGAAATCTAAAAAAGGGACGTGTCACCTTAAGGGTCGCAATTGAGCCCACATATAAAAAAAGATTTGAACTGTATTAAATGTGAGACATTCTACAACGAATTCGAATGGCGTCTTTGTTTTTCCCATCAAAAAGATTTTTCTCAAAAAAAAGGAAAACAATTATAAAATTGCTGATATGGTTGAGCATTTTTTACATTTTTTTTTTTTAGATGTTGAGCACCAGAACTTTTTCAGATTTACCGTTATGCCTAGTTCAAAATAAATGTAAAAATCGACTATTTGGCCGTGTCTTACACCAATAATTCAATTTGAATATACGCGAAGTGGTTTTTTCAACTTCGGCGTTTAATAAAAAAGTTAACTAGTAGAACTTTTTGTATCTCTCGGCGACAATTTTTTCAGTATACCCTCAAGAATATGATGCCCTTGTAAAACAGCTTTTGCTTTTTTTGTCAAATTATAGATATGGTCTATTAATCAATTCTTCCGAGAGTTTAATGCCATAAAAAATTAATAACAAGCTAAAATTTGCCTTATCGCCCCACCTGAAATAGATTTTAAAAATCCGTATGGCTAGAAAGCTGATGAGTTTACTATAGGAATTGCATTTTTACATTGCTTACATCATTTTTTTATTTGGCGGGAAGCTTTGAATAGGAAACGCTCACGCTCACACCATCATGAATAGGTTCAGTCTATCAAGTTATGCGAAAACTAAATTTAACTCGTCAAATGAGGTTTCATTAGACTAGTCCTGTATGTTGAAAATTCAATGTTTTGAAAAATAATGTTCCCTTTTTCATAGGTATGCACCCTGCCGAATTCGTGAACCACATGAGAAACAAAGGCCAGCTCATTATGGGCATTGGACACAGAGTTGAAATCAATCAACAATCCAGATCAGCGAGTAAAGATCGTTAAAGAATTCGTGATGGGCAATTTCCCAGCTACTCCCTCTTCTCCAGTACGCGTTGGAAGTCGAAAAAATCACCACCAGCAAAAAGCCGAACCTCATCCTTAATGTGGTGAGTATCCCAAAGTTCCGTACATCGTAAACATTATCAAAATAAACATCTAGAATTTATCCTGTAAGCTAATAAAACCACGTGTATTGACAGAATCTTCTTTACTGTAAACGTTTCAGTCACAATGCTTCTTAATCCACAAAGCATTCTACAACTTTGATGAGTTCTTCAACAGTGACTTTTCGGAATTCCAGTAGTTTCTTTTTGTTTCTTTTTGTGCTTTTCCAAATTTTTGTGATTGTGAAGGTGTTTTATTCATCTTGTGTATATTTTTTCATATTTATTGTTGCTTTTTTATTTTATTCGCTGATAAATGTCATCATTGTCTTTTTTTGACTTCCGCAAACTCACTGTGTATTTGGCAGTGAATAAATTGAATTCATCTTCAGTACAATGCCACATATTCGATTTATCTGCCTTCTATGCACAGATTATTAGCTACCTTCCAGGTGACAGTTCGCTTGTTTTTTTTTCTTTTCAGCATCACATCCCTATACAGTCTATTTAGGCTATTAAAATTTGTTTATTGTCCAAATTTGAGTATAACTGTTGGAGTAACGTTCTGTTTGTTCCATATTGCCTATTAACAAGCGTACTTTTTTATAGATGGTGTGATAGCGTGCGCGTTTGTAGACATGTTACGCAACTGCGGCAGTTTCACCAGCGAAGAGGCTCAGGAATACATAAACATCGGCGCGATCAACTCTCTGTTCGTGTTGGGCAGGTCGATCGGTTTCATTGGCCATTACATGGACCAGAGGAGGCTCAAACAGGGTCTGTACCGTCACCCGTGGGACGATATCTCGTACGTCCTGCCAGAGCAGTACAACGGAGGGAACTAGGCGATGCATTTTCTTAGGTTTTAGGTATGTGTTTTTTGTTTTGCTATGTTGTTAAAGAGGAAAAGTTATTGCATAAAAGGGAAAACATAGTGATGTAGTTCGTCTCGCCACGCCTCTCGTCATGGTGAGTACCACCACTGCCACTTGGTTGACCATTTTTTATGGCAAATCTTCGACCTAAACATGCGCCTGACGTTGTGCCCAGTGAGACATGTATGTACTTGAAAATACGTATCTCCTTAATGCGCATCCTATTTTAAAACTTCTAGTGTATTTTTAGCACAATCTAGGGGGCCTATTTTGGCGTAAAAACAACAATAATAAGTTTTGAATCCTCTCGGTTTTGCGCTCACCATCTTTTGAGAATCACAGTTCTGCGTAAATTGAGGTTTTATTGCTTTTTCTGGACGAGATCCTTGATGTGTATGACTATGAAATTTCGTTAAAAATGAGTTAGATATCTTGAAAAGCTGATCGCGGAATTGGTATAAGATTGGAAAATTTATTTTTTTAGAAAATTACAATGTTTTGCCTGGTGCGAGGTACGTATAAAAGTGGAATAATAACTTTATTTTACAATTGCTCGGGTATTTCTGTATGGTCTCCTTCAAAGTGCTCCCTCTGAGACAAGATGCGCTTCTTTCAACGCCGTTTCCACTGTTGATACGATCTCTGAAAGTCTTCATTTGTGAGGCTCTTCATTGGCCGTGTCGTTTCTGCCTTGATGACTTCCGCATCCCCAAAGTGAAGCCCCCGAAGCACAGCGAGAGACGTTGTCGTGATGAAGGATCCACCTGCCCCCTTGTGTTTAGTCCGATCGAACTCGGGCCACACGAGCTCTGAAACAACGCAAAACTTCAGTGTAGAAATTTCCGTTCACTGTCTGGCCGGGAGGGACAAATACATGGTGAACAATCCCCCGAGAATCCCAGAAAACAATCAACATTGTTTTTACATTCGACCTTGATGTTTTCGACTTTTTTGTTCTCGGTTCCCCTGCTTGCTTCCTCTCCAAGCTTTGAAGACTCGTAGAACCAAGATTAATCTCCAATGATGACTCGGTTGAAAAAGTCCCCCCTTTTCTCTGCTTCCAGCCAATCCTCACAGCAAGCAACCCTCCTTGCTTTCTGTTCTGGAGACACGAGCTTCGGAGCGATTGTCGCTCACAATTTTTTCATTTCAAGTTTTTCTGTCACAATTTCGTGGACGATTGCTTCGGGGATTGACAGTTCCTCAGCTATCATTCTAACTCAATCGACGGTCTCTAAGAACCGCCCCGAATTCGTTCAACATTTTCCTCAGAGCTCGATGAGGAGGGGCCTCCTGAGCGTTGGTCACCTTTCACATCGGCCTAACCGAAACCTTTTCAACCACTTGTTGACGGTTGATTCATTCAGAGAATTGTTCCGAAAAATCTCACGACCATTCCTGCCTAGCTTTGCAAGAAACTTGATGGTGGTGAGCTGTTCCTCGATCAGAGGGAGCTCCATGTGGAAGGCATGTAAAAAGGGTTACTTTCAACCAGCACACGTAAATCCTACTTACTCGCAGAGCGCTCCGGCTCGTACTGAGCGTAGAAGGGATCGCATAGAGAGAGAGAGGGAACCACCGGGCCACCCCACCGCAACGCCTTGACTCGACGCTCCGAATTTTTTATACATATTTTCTGGACAAACCTCGTTTAGCACCGGTTTCTCCTATGACGATCATTAAAGAACGAGAGACGAAAATGTTATGCACTTGGTGCGTTACGATGTCCATAAATGGGTATCCCCTAATATCACGGCAATCCACTTGAACGGTGAGGTGCTCGATGGCCTGAACTGCATCACTATATTCTTAATCCAACTAGCAGTTAGACACTTATTAGTGTATAATACATATCATGTATTGTGATTCTGTATCTTGTTGATGTATAGGTGTTTTCTCTTGCTCTTAATCGGTTAGTAACTAAAACTATTGATGTCGGATGTCCCTTTTCTCCAATAACTTGTCTTGAGGAGTATTCCTAATAATTTTAGTCTGATTGTTTCACGATGTGTATAGAGAGAGAAAAAAAACATTTTTTATGCATTTTTTTTCTTCAGTCGTACTTAACAAATAAAATAGTGCAGCTCTAAATTTGTTCGTGAATTTTCCACTTTTTTGGAAAAATTGAGCCGATGATTACTTGTTTGTTAACAGTTTCCTCTCTTCAAAAAATCTTTGCTTGTCGTTGCTGCAAAATGAGGTTTCAAGAAAATCAAATTTGCTATAAAAGTGGAAGTTACAATTTCAGAGTTGTACTATTTTTTAACAAGTTACGATTGAAGAAAAAAATTCACAATAAAATGGTAAAAAATGACAAATTCATTACATTGTTTTTTAGTCTGTACAAACTATGAAATAATCAGATGAAAAGGATTTAGAATACTGCTCCAAAAAGGAAGTGGGAGAAAGGGACATCCGACCTTGTAACTTGTTATGCATAAGAAGTCAATATGTTTATGCCTGTATCACCATTATACAGGGTATTCTCAAAGTTGGGACTTTCCTTTTCTGGGCAACAATTGAGATGACAAAGCTAATTATGTGGTGTAACGACACCGAATAAGTGACAAAACTGAAGTACTCACCTGTTATTTGAAATTATAAATACCGCTCTGTCTTAGGTACTTATCAATATTGTTCAAAGTTGTCGCCATTCGGTCTTCAGAAATACAAGTTTATGCTTGGTGTTGGCAACAATCGGAGTTGTTTAAACCTTCCACGGTGTCCACCTCGACATTCCTGCAAACCGGTGTTCCTAGCAATGTGTACATGATCAACATATGCGACGCATGGTAGAAACGTCCAAAAGAAAAAGGATCTGAACACAATCGCGAAACCTTAGCAGCATCTTGAAAACACTCACCGTAAACTACTATCATATCAACAGATTTTGTATTGCTATATGATTGTATAATTTCCGGTATTTTCGTATCCGCTTTGTAAACAAACAGCTCAGGAATGGCTGGATCGGATATGATAATTCAAATTTTTTCAGAAGCCAACATCTCGGTTATCCTAAGGTTTGGGTATATGTGTTATAAGCAAAATTTGTTCATTTTTACAAGAGCTGTGTGAAAAGGAAAGTCTCGCATTTGAGAACGCCTTGGTAGTGAAAGAGAAATGTGACTAATTTAACAATTGCACTTCTAATTCTAGGCAATTTGCACCATAAAATGTGAGACACCTAGGATAACTAGAAATAGAAGATATCATGTCCTTGTGTTGAATATTTTTTGAGAACTGGAGGGTATGCAAACTATATATTTTGATAAATGAAATGAGGAAGAATATGGGAGGCGCACTGAATGTTTCATTGGCACATTATGTGACGAGTTACTAGCTTCCATAATTTATTGTTTTAAAAGTTGATATTTATATTTTTGTATTTTAAAATATTTCCCTAGGTAGATATAATTATGAAATTTTTGATGATTGACATTTTATGTTGAGTTATGTGACTGTGCCACTGGGTATAGTTTTTATGTAGTTTTCAAACAAATAAATAATGAAGAAACCAATAATTGTTTCCTTTTCAAGAATTTTATATACCTCGTTCCTGTAACCCTGATAGTTAATCCTTAGTTGCGAGAAGATTCACGCGTATTCGACTAAAGATTCCTTACGGAAATATTAAATTGCTTGGATAGGTAATTTTTTATTTGTTATTATTGTAGCAGATACGCGGGAAATATGGGAAACTTGTTCTGCTCCTGATACGTGCACCGGAGAAATTGATTGCACATTGCCTGACTGGAAATGACAAGCATTCCAAAATGAAGTGTAAAACAAATAATAAAGAAATTAATAATTGTTTTCTTTCCGATTTTGGAAGAATATTTATATTATTCGTTTGTGTAACCCTGGTAGTTAATCCTCGGTTACGGGAAGATGGACGCGTATTCGAGTAGAGCTTCCTTACAAAAATATTAAGCTGCATGGGTATTTTTCTTATTTGTTATGAAGGTAACAGATACGCAAGGAGGTATGGAAAATTCACTCTGCTTCTTATACGTGCAACGGATAAATTGCACAATGCCCGACTGGAAATGACAAACATTCCAAAATGAAGTTTATAAACAAATCAATAATAAAGAAACCAAGAATTGTTTCCTTGTCAAGAATTTTTATATGCCTCGTTCCAGTAACCCTGATAGTTAATCCTTAGCTGCGAGAAGATTCACGCGTATTCGACTGGAGATTCCTTACGGAAATATTAAATTGCTTAGGTAGGTAATTTTTTTATTTGTCATTATTGTAACAGATACGCGAGGAAATATGGAAAACTTGTTCTGCTCCTGATACGTGCAACGGAGAAATTGCACATTGCCTGACTGGAAATGACAAGCATTCCAAAATGAAGTGTATAAACAAACAATAAAGAAACCAGTAATTGTTTTTCTTTCCGATTTTGGAAGAATATTTATATTCTTCGTTTATGTAACCCTGATAGTTAATCCTCAGTTACGGGAAGATGGACGCGTATTCAAGTAGAGCTTTCTTACGAAAATATTAAGCTGGGTATTTTTCTTATTTGTTATCAAGGTAACAGATACGTAAGGAGGTATGGAAAATTCGCCCTGCTCCTGATACGTGCAACGGAGAAATTGCATATTGCCTGACTGGAAATTACAAACATTCCAAAATGAAGTTTATAAACAAATCAATAATAAAGAAACCAATAATTGTTTCCTTTTCAAGAATTTTTATATGCCTCGTTCCTGTAACCCTGATAGTTAAGCCTTAGTTGCGAGAAGATGTACGCGTATTCGACTGAAGATTCCCTTACGGACATATTAAATTGCTTAGGTAGGTAATTTTTTTATTTGCCATTGTAGCAGATACGCGAGGAAATATGGGAAACTTGTTCTGCTCCTGATACGTGCAACGGAGAAACTGCACATTGCCTGACTGAAAATACAAGCATTCCAAAATGAAGTGTATAAACAAACAATAAAGAAACCAGTAATTGTTTTCTTTCCGATTTGGA